CATTCCTTTTTTTTTTTTATATATAAATATTTCATGGCTGAACTCACATTGTTTGGATTTGAATCCGTAATTGCGTTTTGTTTTGTGTTCTATGAAAAAAATGAATTGGTGACTGCTCCGTAGCTGAAGTTAATTTATAATTTGTTAAATTGATTTGATTTTTTATTTTATTCTTGTGTGTATTAGGTTGAAGGAGGTGGAAAATGTCGCACAGGAAGTTTGAGCACCCAAGGCACGGGTCCCTTGGTTTCCTCCCAAGGAAGAGGGCAGCTCGTCACAGGGGAAAGGGTATACATATTCTTTTTGTTCCTTATAATTGTTGTGCTTCTTAATTGTTTCAAAATATTTTGTCTGTAACAATCGAGGATATGTTTTGATTTGTAATAGCTTATTGATGTACATTTGCATATCTGTCTAGAAAAGTTTCAAGCTTCCGGTAGCCAACTTTGAGAGACCAAGTTAGAGATGTTGGGTTTATTTTTATCGACATCTCAGATGAAAATTGAAATTCTTGGCGGCGTTAGAATATGGAAAATAGAAATAAAGTCCAAATAGCAAGTAGAATTATTTGAAATTGCGTTTTTATGAAATGGCATAACAATTACATGCAATGTTGCGCGTGTGTTGTTGCACCCATGGGCTTTGATACTTTTATGTTTTATTATTCTGTAATCTTTCTATTACTAATCTTGTAATACCCGTCCGAAAATGCAGTGAAGGCTTTCCCTAAGGATGACCCTACCAAGCCCTGCAAGTTGACTGCCTTCCTCGGCTACAAGGCTGGGATGACCCACATTGTGCGAGAAGTGGAAAAGCCTGGGTCAAGTAAGTTGTTTCAGTTCATCAATATAAATTTTGTAACATTTTCGAGTATTTTTGATAATCTTCTGTGCTGGTTGCAATAAAAAATCTTTACTATACCTTGCTGAGGTTTTTGAGTGATGTATATGTTGTCAATTTCACCACCCTTTTTCATTGGTAGTTCCTCAGTTGTTTGAGGCATTTCTTTTTAGATAGTTTTTGCCTCTTGAGGTGGTCCTTAAAACTTCAGTAAGTTACTTCTTGACTAATGACATTGATGTACGAAAATCTCTTTCCCAACTTTTTTTATGTAAAAACACATCCATTTCCTGTAAATTTTGCCAGATTGATTTTTATTTACCTTTCTTCAATCAGCTCAAGTATTTACTCTAGTTTGCAATTTATTATGATTTTGTATTCTCTTATACTATTAGATGCTTAAAATAACAGTTTAATTCGAAATTATTGACCGACAGAACTCCACAAGAAGGAGACTTGTGAGGCAGTTACCATCATCGAGACACCACCCATGGTTGTCGTTGGTGTGGTGGGATATGTGAAGACCCCGCGTGGGCTCCGCTGCCTCAACACTGTGTGGGCCCAGCATCTGAGTGAGGAGGTGAAGAGGAGGTTCTACAAGAACTGGTGCAAGTCCAAGAAGAAGGCATTCACCAAGTACTCCAAAAGGCTTGAGACTGATGAGGGGAAGAAAGATATCCAAGCCCAACTCGACAAACTCAAAAAATATGCATCTGTTGTCCGTGTGCTTGCTCACACTCAGGCAATCCAATCCACCCATTCTCAATTATGCAACTTTGTTGGCTAATCATATTAAAAAAAAGGCCAAAAATTTGTTGCGTGTGACTTGAAATTTTCTCCCTTTCTTTGTTTGTGTACAGATCAGAAAAATGAAGGGACTGAAACAAAAGAAGGCCCACCTGATGGAGATTCAAGTCAACGGCGGTACCATTCCCCAGAAGGTTGACTTTGCGTATGGGTTCTTTGAAAAGCAGGTTCCCATTGATGCTGTCTTTCAGAAGGATGAGATGATTGACATCATTGGTGTTACTAAGGGTAAGGGTTACGAGGGTGTTGTCACTCGTTGGGGTGTGACCCGTCTTCCCCGTAAGACCCACAGGGGTCTCCGTAAGGTGGCCTGTATTGGTGCCTGGCACCCAGCTAGGGTTTCCTTCACTGTTGCTAGGGCTGGACAGAATGGGTACCATCACCGTACTGAGATGAACAAGAAGATTTACAGGCTCGGCAAGGCCGGGAAAGAAGAACACACTGCCAGTACTGAGTTTGACAGGTCCTGTTATAGTACTCCCGTGCACTGATTTTACATGCTTTAGTATCTCTATCTACAAGTTCATGTGTAACTCCAGAAAACTAAAATTGACTTTGTACCTAAAAACTAAAACTAAATATGCTAAAAAAAATAAATAAATAAAAAAATCACTCATTCCAGTTATAAATGATAACAGGACTGAGAAAGACATTACACCAATGGGTGGGTTTCCCCACTATGGTGTGGTGAAAGATGATTACTTGATGATCAAGGGTTGCTGTGTGGGTCCCAAGAAGAGGGTCGTCACGCTCCGTCAGACTCTGCTTAACCAGACATCACGTGTGGCGCTCGAGGAGATCAAGCTCAAGTTCATCGACACCTCATCCAAGTTTGGGCATGGCCGCTTCCAGACGACTGAGGAGAAGCAGAAGTTTTACGGGCGCATCAAGGCGTAGAGGCATACAAGACTTTGAATTGTTAGTTTTCATTTTTCGTCTAGTCATTTTTGCAGGTATCTTGAGACGGCTAAGTTTTAAAATTTTATTCGGGACTTCGGCTTCTATGTGTTGTGGTTCTAAGATTCAGAACTTTGTGCTGATTCAGGAAGTTATGTTTTTTGACAATATTTGCTCGCTTGTTGTCTCCATAATGAGTTATAGCATATGAATTCTGCACCCATCATATTATTATTTCTTCTTTGTTTTTGCCTTTTATGCTTTTTTCCCATTCCCTTCTATTTCTTGTACAAATTCCATACTTTTAAGGTATTTGTCATGAGCATTTTATTTCTTTCTTTTATCACGTCTGTCACATATACTGACATGGTGTATGAATTTATCTGACATGAAATTTCTCGGCATATATCATGACAAAAAATCCTTCTGTCATTGAAATTTTGCCATCCGTCTACACTTGTAGACAAACATTTTGTTGCATGAATATTTTTGCATTATTGTCTACTTTGATCGTTCGACATCTCAACCGTCCTCATAAATTAGGCGGCCAGAAGGGGCTCGACATTCCAACTTCAATCGATAAAACAACCATTCAATAAAACGAGCAAAAACCTCAATTGGCATAGAATACGTGATTCGATCATGTACACACAATGCCACATATAAGTAAATGATGGCAACTTCAATTGATAAAACAACCATTCAATAAAACGAGCAAGAACTTCAATCGGCACAGAATTTGTGATTTGATCATGTACCACCACACAATGTGCATATATATAAAAGTTAAATGATTGTTTTGTTCATTTGAGCAAATGATTTTGACTATGCAAAAGGGATTATTATCATTACACATAATTCTTATGCATAATGCAAAAGCTATCAGATTCTGTCTTCAGGCCATCTGGAGTGAAGTGGGCACCAGGTAATATAAAGAAAAAGAAAAAAAAAAAAAGTAAGAAAAAAAAGAAAGTGGAAATAGCAAAATCAAGAATCAGACTTCAAAATTTTACAACATGCAGCAAAGAAAACTAAAAATACCCCCTTGGAGTACAAACCTTTGGCCTGTATTAGTGGCTCATGTTATATCTACTTTTCTTTTTTCTCCAATGAGAATATGGAGAGGTAATCGAGTCATTCACACGCTGAGGCCATCAAATCCGCACTGCTTGTATATTAACGACTGATTTCTTGGACTGATGGCTATTGTACAATCTACCGATACCTGCTCAAAAAAAAAAAAAAAAAAAAAAATACCCAACAATTTACGTCAAGCTCATAAAACTTTTAATGCACATAAAACTTTTAATGCACTTGGTGTGCGTAAGGTGATCATTTGTATACTAGCCACCATGAATACAGTGTGTGTGTGTGTGTGTGTGTGCGTGTGTTACGATTTCCATTGTATTCCATGTCTGGGAACAGAATACGGCGATTTGTCAAATGAGTTCTTTGATTTCCTTAGAAAAAGCACTTGCTTTCATCCAAAGAGTAAAATATGCCAGGTGATTAAAACTGAGAAGAATTGCTTCCTGGAAATGACCACCAATAAGTAGCTCAACCAAAAATACATGTACAAATTCGACACATCGAACACAAACACAGAACATGAAAATACATCGTGTTTCCATTTATTCAACACATAAAGTGCTCAACAGGTGAATCTATATATATATATATATATAGAGAGAGAGAGAGAGAGAGAGAGATAACCTATTTACCAAAAACAGAAAAAAAAAGTCAACCAACATTTATTGTACTACTTTTGTCAGTTTTTTAATTCTCTTTTTAAATTATTCTCAAAAAAATCGATATGCTATATATGTATCCTAAATTCATAGGTTTTGTGAATTTAATTTAGGTAAATTTCGACCGATGCTTACAATTTTGCAAAATTCAAAATTCTTTCTTATGTTTTAATAAAAAAAATTAATTACCATAAAATCGAGAATTTCAAACTAGGCAAAATACTATAACATGTATCTTTACCTAATTGCAACAGATCATGTTTATTAAAAAAATAAAATCGAATTGCATAGAAATCGGGCCAATTTCAAATTGAAAAGTAAAATTTAAAACTTTCCTTATTGGCTACTACTTTCTTTAGTTAAAATTTTTTAAACATAAAACAGAGTCCAATATTAATAATTTGAAATTCAAAATAAAATCGGACTAGAACATCCTAAAAATTTGGATTTTGTTTAATCCTCTAGAATACAAATTAAAATTGATTGCATACACTGACACAATTTTTTCCTTCCTTAGATTAAGTAATTTGCAATTTTAAACTAATAAGGCTATAGATTATCAAGAAAGACGCTTTACAATCTTGTTATATTTGACTACGCAATGCGTTAGACGATGTACCAAAAGACCAAACAAATAATGTTGTGTACAATAATGTGTGTAATAATGTATAAGTTGCATTTTGTTTTATTCCAATACACGCCTTTTACACTCTTCCAATCATCCAACCATCCAAATTTGTATGCTTACCTTAATAAAACTATTCCGTGCACAACAGATGAATTTAATTGTGCCGATTTTAAATTAGCCAGGTAAATCCTACAATTTCAACAAAATGCATATTTTGGCTGTGAATGGAGTCATCAAAATCTCTACAATACTCATCTCTACCTCATTAGTTCTCTCACCTTCCCACATATGACTTGCAAAACAATGAGAAACCAACAAAACAAAAAGTCAAAATAAGTGGGCTGAGAAAACTGGACTCAACCTAAGGGCTAAGAATGTGGACAAAATAAGTGGGCTCAGAAAACTGTCTCTACTCATAGCTCACACATTTACAGTAGACTGTTTGTAGCTTTCTTTTTTTCAAGATAAAAAGTTCCGAGAAATGCTACGGTCTCGTTACGGTACCATCCCGTCGGGTAACTGTTGGATTCCTTACGGTACCATCCCATCGGGTTAAAACACCCGAGATTGTAGCATTTTCCAAAAGTTTTATGCCTTCCAAGTAAATTATTCCACAAAATTAGAAACATCAGAAATTAAAGGTCCCAAATGATTAATTATTTAAGGGGAAATTATTAAAATTAATGAAAGAAAAATAAAACCCAACTGCAGAAAATAGAAATTTAGCAACAAACAAAATACAGAAATTTAACAAAATATAAATTAAAAATGCAGTAAATGAATTAAACAAGAACACTGCAATTGAACCACAATTAGTTCACCCCAAGAAGCTGATCTAACCTGCACACCGGGCGAGGTAAGGCCCAGAATCCGGATCTTAGCGCCGACATCGCCCACGACCCGAAGCTCGACCCGGTCGTTGAGCGACGCGTCCCTGAGTAAATCGGCGGCGTCGGCCTGGAGCAGGCTGACCCGGTCGACGACGATGGTGGTCTCGACCCGCCTGACGCTGTGGGCGGGCTGGTAGAACCCGGGGACCTCGCCCCGGCCCAGCGGGATCCCGCGGTACATGACGGTGAACCTGGACTCGCCGTACTTGATCCCCACCTTGTTGTCGTTGGCGGCGATGAAGAGCATCCGGATGTTGAGCGATACGGCGGCGGAGGAGGCGGTGGTGGGGCTGATGCCCACGTACTGGACGCTGACCTGCTGCAGGTCGAAATCAGGCTTCTTCGGCTTCACGACGAGGACGACGACGAGGATTGCGGCGAGGACGAGGAGGGCGAGGAAGGAGAAGAGGAGGAAGAGGCAGCAGCAGCAGCCGCGCAGTGAGGCGGAGGACGACGATGAAGATGTCGGCGGCGGAGGGTAGTACTGGTGGTGGTGGCCGTTCGGGGCGGCGGCGGCGATTGGCCGGGAGGTCATTTTAGAACATATAATTTGGGGTTCCGCTTTGCCCTTTTCCGATAGAGAATTTGGAATTAGAGAGGGGAAAAGGAAAAGGTTTTAGCTTGGCCCCGCCACCACCCACGGCGGTGGGCACCTCTTTCTCCGCTGCTACTTTGTTTTTTAATTATTTTGTTTTTCTTTTACAGTCCGTTTTGCTTTCTCTCGGTTTACTCTTTTTTTTTGTTTTTGTTTTTTCTGTTGAGGAGAGAGGGAGAGAGAGAGAGAGAGATGGAGTTTGCGTGGAGTTGGAGAAAGGAGGCACATGGGAAAGTGATTTTTAGTGTAAAATATCTTTAAAAATATTTCGATTGTATTATAAATTAAATATATAAATAACATTAATCGTGATTTATTCATTATTTATAAATTAAACTGAGTTGGGCACAGTCGGAACGGATAGATCGAGAACCGGTTTATAACCAATCTAGTTGCTTGAATAAAATATTTGTTATTGAATCCGTCAACACCAGTCGGCTGGACTGGTAGGATCAATATGATTTTCTAAATAAATTTTGTTATATTTAAATTATTTTAAATAAAATTACATATTCAATAAAATGAAGATTTATAAATTTTTATCAATTATTTTATACATTTGAATTTATAATTTTTTTAGATATTTAAGTAACACTTTTTATTTAAATTTATTACAAAAGTACTATATATATTAAATACTTAAAAATTAAAATTTGAACAAAGAACAAATGATTTAATAAAATAACTTGATTGTTTTGATGACAATCTGATTCTGAAAACCTTATATTTACTGTATGCATATTAATAAAAAGTAAACATATTAATTTTCAAAAAATTAAGATTAATTGATTGATCATGCAACTTAAATAATATTTTTAACGTTCACATTTTTTTTTTTGAAAGTCACAAATATAAAATCGAGATTTTAAAACTTTTGTTATATTTTGAATTGAAATTTCATAAATATAGATACCAAGATTTTAATGTTGTTCGTTGTTTCTAAGAAAAAAATAAAAATAAAAGCCTGCACACCTAATAGATCTTAGCTGAATTTTTTAAATAATAAAATGAACTAAAACCCGAAAATTAAAGTAGCATCTAATGTCGTATAATCTATTAATATATAATCTATACTTATATTAAAAGCTATATTATTTACTAAATGTAGTATGTAGAATAGTCAACCATAATTAGTGATTTGCTATTTTTATCAAACATTTAATTAATGCATTTAATATTTTTGATATGCAAATCAAATTAGCATTTAATTAGTTCCTAAAATATTGGGTATGCAATATTAATTTAGGAATATCCATGTAGTTCCTAAAATGTTGGTATGCAATACGTAAAAGAAGATTTTTTAATTTTTTTTTTAAATATAAAATATTGCACACGTAAAACTATTCCAATTATTTTTTTTATTTTACATATAAATCTAATTAATATTTAATGCATCTTACAAAATTGGATTTAGTTTAATTCTCCATATAATTGGTTGTACTTTTTCAGTTGTACTTTTTTTATTTATTTATTTTACACTTTTAAATTAATGAAGCTCTCCAAAAATACTAAATCAAATGATTTATGAAAGTTTTTTTTTCTTACAATTTTAAATCTATATACACAGCTTAAAAAACTCATCGCATAGATATGGACGAGTTTAAAAAAATTTCATAACCTAACTTAGAAAATTCCATCTCCACGAGTCAAAAAAAATCACATCCCTCATCTATTGTAACAACTTTAAAGGTAAATAAATAAAAGTCTAATTACTACTATAAATCCATTATCTATAAAAAATTTTTAAAAATCTAAATTTCACCTGCCTAATTACTAATATTTTGAATACTTTTAAATATTATTTGTATAAATTTTTTTACACATTTGCTCTCTCTCTATATATACATATATGGAAGTTAAATGAAGAATTTTTAGACATATTTTCCTTACGGGTAGTTTAGAAAAATTTAGGTAGCTTCAAACATTATTTGTGAATAATATAGAATATTTTAGATGCTTTTATAGATGTTATAAAATATTTTAAGTATTTTCAATATTTATATATCACACTTAAAAAGAATATTTTGCCAAAAAACATTAAATACACATTGTAAATATTAATAGAAACAGTCTTCAGTGTTCGTCTTTGATTTTGCCAAAACAAATCTCATAAAATCGCTGAAGTTAAAATTTGTACGTAAAAATCTATCTATATTAAATAAAAGGTAGATTCAAAATTCTTTATCTAATTTCTTCTTTTCCTTATCTAATTCATTCTTGTATAGAAATATGTTCTGATTTTGTTCAATCCTCTAATTGTATTTGTATGATATCCCATAAAATCGGTTTAACAAAAAAATCCCATAACATCCGATTAGTAAAAAAAAGTACGTAAAATCTTTACTAAAATAAAAAAAGGCTTTATTTATTATCTAATTTATTATCTAATTGTATGAAAATTTGTTTTGATTTTATAGTACGTACTACAAATTGTGCACCCGTGTTCAGGAGGCAAGCTCTGTGGAAATAACTCATTTAGTGCTTCTGTCCCGTGCATACGATATGTATTTGTATTACACATACTAGAAAATTGTGCACCCCGTGCATCGCACGGACTCTGTACTAATAAATGACTTTAAAATTGTGCACCCCGTGCATCACCTGTATTCACATTTTGACCTAGGTCACGTACTATATATATCCCGTACATTTTTCTTTATTCATTTATATAATTATAAGACTTGATAAATTACCTTAATTTTGTGCACCCCGTGCATCGCACGAGATCTGTACTAATAAGGATTAACATAATTCACTATTAGAAACACTTCCCGCCAATTTCATTAATTGTTGCCTAAACATAGTAAATTAACAAAATCGCTATATATTAGCATATCTATATATTAGAAAATTACATGTGTAAATTATAATTAATATATATTTTATAGACTACATTAAATTCTGACATATTTTTTTACTACTATTTTTTAGTAAATAGTAATTCTTATTATATATCTATAGATATAGATATTTATTTATATGTGAGTTGGGGGCCTTGGTGCATTATTTAATAAATTTATTTATTGAACTGACTACTTTATTAATTATAGTTTAATTTTAATAATCTTGTTGGGGAAGTATCAATTGACCAAATATTTACGGTTGATTTTAGTTTTTCGCTTCACAAATTAACAGGGCAAGACTTGGAAAAAAATTATATAAAATTTACTATATTGAATTTAACTTGTTGACTAAAACAAGCTAAATTACATGAACTGAGTTAGTTCAACCTTTTAACGAGCTAATTAAATTGAACCAACTAAAGCTCATTCAGCATCTAGTTTTCTTTAATATAAACTAAAAAGCATGCGGACCTAATTTTTTTTTTTGGATTGAAAGTAAAATAAAAACTACACAAGCCTAATAACAAAAGCATGTAATTTTGTCACGTAGAATCCCGAAACATGCGAGCCTGCCAGGTAGACCCTAACACGTTTTGAATTAATATCCAGATATGTGTTGAGGTGGCACAAATTATGCAGTAGGAATATCATTGGAATCTTCTCTTATTTTTGCCTTTCCCATTTCTGACTCAAGGATAGATAAATAGAATCTACTAATCTAGCAAGTAACGTTTCCCTATCCACGATGGACACATGTTAATATGTCCACCGTTTATGTGCTATGCATCCATTGGTGATATATTTTTTTGAACATATTAACATCACCATTGTGTGCAAGCCACATAAGCGGTGGACATATTAACATGTGTCCACCGTGGGTAGGGAAGCATTACTCAAAATCTAGCACGTGTATATATCTAACATCATTTTATAGGAACTAAGGTGGTATAGATTTTGATATGAGTAAAGTGTATTGATAAATATGGTAAACATGCCGAGTTTGAACTCATTGTAATCAATGTCGTGTTTAAGTCAGTAAGTGAATTCGAGTGTGGCTTGTTAATATTAATGAGTTGAGCTTAAGCCGAAGTCGGATTTTAACGAGTTGAATAATAGAAAATTATATTATATTAAAATTCATATTTTCAAGTTTTATCAAAGTTGAGTCGAGCCTGAATCATTAACTAAACGAGCTCGAGCTCGAGCTCGTTTATCAAACGAGCACAGTCTAGCATAGCTCACAAGCGACTTGTTTTGTTTAACATTTTAAGAAAGAAAAAAAAATATTTTACCTCCCAAAGGTATGAAATTGACAATTTGTCTGCTGCAATAAAAAGAAACCCTGTCATGATCCAAAATGTTTTTTTTTTCGTTAAATGTAAATATATATAGATCAAAACTGGGTTCAAAGACCGGTCAACGACATACAAAAGCGTAATGGGCAACCACAAGCCGATTTTTCATTCGCGGGATAAGATATACGAGGACAACCACAAGTCGATTGCTCACTCAAAAGACATTAGAAATGAATACAAAGGGTCCAAAGGGAACTCAGTCCATATCGACTCGATGGTACAAGGCACGGGTCGCGCTCAAGGTTTTTTCCAACTTTCTCCAATTAACCACATCTTCCCGGGTGATCGGCCACCCTTCAACCTCAACTCTCAAATACCAAACATCAAATTCTGAGGCTCCGCCTCTCAAATTCGGCAAGCACATTAGAATAGAGAGCAAAGATAGTGCGATATACATGGGTTTTTACCTTTCGGATCACAAGGCTCGGGGGTTGGTATTCATTTTTGAAGATCAACCGGTTTCTTGCATTCCAAATGAAGTACACAATGTCTTGCAAAGAACCTTTGGGGACTTTACACTCCCTACTATGACTGAACTGAACAAGCAACAAATTGAGCAACTAGCGCGAAAGTCGTTGCTCGGTAGCGCCGCTTTCTTCAACTTGGACCTCCAACACGCACCTTTCGCCTCCTTCTTGGTCCATTTGAGGGCGCCTTTAAGGGTCGATGGTCTTTGGCGGAGCCTAACCCAAGTACGAATATCACCCCAAATCTCGGAGCTAAAGAGCACTCAAAGAATAGA